GAAGTTTAAACTACTTGCTTCACGGGGCTCTTGATTAGTGCTTTTCACTGTTTGAACTGTTCCTCTGTTTGTTCTGAGTGCAAGCTTGGGCAACACTGAAATCCAGAAAAAAATTCCTTAAATAATTGTTTTGGCGGGGGCATTTAAGAAACATTTAAGTAGGGTGGGAGTTTTTGTGGGAGGGCAGTGGGGTGGGAATGGTTTGGGTTTTTTGGTTGTTCTTTTTCAGTTTGTACCTTTTAAAACTGGAGGAGACTATAGGAGGAACCTGAAAAAGCAAAATGAGTAGATATGAGTTCTCTGCAGGCTGTTGGTTATTTCTGTGGGTGCCTTCAGTTTGTGTTTTGAAAAGTGCACATGTTTTTTTGTTTGTGAACTGTGATATTCTTGTTGATGTATAGAGGTTTTTCTGTGCTCAAGATGAACTCTGAAAACAAGGGGTTCTCCTTTAGTTGTTACTCAACAGACTTCTTGAAATAGAACTTCTTATTTGGTTTCAAAATAAGTTTCGGGGGGGGAGTTTGATTAGAACATAGAACTTCCTGCTTTGCATTTAGAACAAAAACTGTGGTTTTCCATACTTTGTTTCTGGTTCTTGTAGATTGCTTAATTTTTTTTTTCCTTTCAGTGTGGTAAAAGGGTGACTAAGTCAGTATGAAAGCTGAGTAAAATGCTGCTTTTCATGCTTTATTGGCCTTTCATATTAAATGTAATGGCAACCATTAAACAGTTAATTATTGAATTAATAATTAAGTATTGAATATTAATAAACTGGAATGATCAAGGGAGAGAAATAGACCTGGGGATTGACTAGTTTAATTAAAAAATCCAAAACAACTAGACACCCTAATCTTCCTACATCCTCAAACTCTGATATGAAAAGGACTTTGAGAACTCTCTTTTTAGAGTATTGCTATTAGCCCTTCTCTCTTTATCAAATATACTAGAACAGCCTATTGCAGACTAATAGGCCATCAATTATGCAAATCAGTGTATGATCAGTCTTTTCATGTACCTGCTTCCATATCATAAGGAAAAGTCTGAAAATCCTTTCTTAATCACCAAAGTATACTGAAAGAAAATCAAGAAACCCTCTCTTTTTGTCCTCCATTGCTTCTGCTGTATGTGTATGTAGGTATCCTGCTTTTGAAAGCTTAAGTTGCTGTTTCCCAAGTACATGATGGTTAAAGCACAGTAACAAAATCAGTGCACATGTGTGAGGTATTTGAATAATAGAAAGACTTATTTAGATCAGGCTTTTAACTCTCTTATGTAGTTTTTTGCTAAAAGGAAGTATTTCACAATTCTGGTATACAACCGGTAAAATAAGATTGGTTTGTTGATTCGGGTTTCTCTTAATTAATGTTTTTACTTAAAGGAATGGTTTCTTTCCCAAGTTACATTTTCAATTTTACCTTTCTTCTCTTCAGCTTTCCCTCACATCCTTCTTCTTATAACTATTTTGACCTAAACATCCAAAAAGACACTTGTGTTTCTGCTTTTAGGCATCACAGAATCTTGGATGAGAAAACATTAAATGCCTAGTGTCACTTTAGAATTGCTACAACATACCATGTGCTCTTCACTCACCCCCTTAAAACAGCAATAACTTCCTCTCATCTCCTCACACTTGCAAGCTGTCCACAGATATCTAGTTGCTCTATGGGTGTTGGGTCCCTGTTTGAGCAGGTCCCTATTGTTGTTATCTCTAAGTACACATGTTGATGAGCTACATGTTCAAATTACTTTAAAGAGCAGTATAACCTAGTGAAACAAACTGTCCACAGACCAGTGATGTTCAAAAATAAAGGTGCATTAGAAAAGCCAATTTAGTTTGGTCAGCCACACTAGGTGACTTTAGGCATGTTTTTGTCATTGGCTATGCTGTTAAACAGCTAAATAGTGTACCTGGTGAAACCTAGGTGTTAGGGTATCCCAGATATATTTGTTCAGTGCTCTTGTTCTTTAGCAAGGGAATGGAAAAGTAGTGGAAACTATTGAAAATATTTCTTCAATGGAACAGACAAGTAAAGCTCTTACGGCGTATTGTAATATTTCATTTATTTAGTTGCTAGATACTGTTGAAAAAAACCCAAACTTTATCTTTCTCAACTTTTCCTTTTTTCTGTATAAGGATTAAAGGCTTAAGGTGGCTGGTTTGTTTGACTGATTCTCTCTCTGTTCCCAGTTTGTTCAACCTACACCTTCAGTTCAAGTCTTCAAACTGAATTTTCCAATAGGCAGCTGGCAGCATCTTTTGGTTTTGGCATTCTGAGACCGTGGAAATGTTTAAAAGCAATATTTAGTGCTATGACTGATATATTAGCTCACGGCCACTGATGTCCTGTGGCACCTGGAGAAGCCTTTGTGTACAGCTCAAAGGGTCTGGGATCTCAGCAACAAAACCACCCATGCAGTCAGCAACCCTGGACTGGCAAACAGCAGCTCTTTTGCCTCTTAGGGTTTTCAAGGACCGTCCATTAAAACCAAAATGTGCAGTTTAAACAACATTTTTAAACACGAGTCAAAAAACAGCTAATGTTGTACCTAATTTGCATGCTCTAGCTGGCTGGGTTTTATTCCCCTCTGGCTTTGTAAACCCATAGTTGCTGGGCATGGGTTGGCAGTGCTGGGCAGGGTGATTCTGATGAGCTGGGGGAGATTGCAGCAAACTGTGTCAGTATATAGAAATATCCTCTTGGGTTTCATCTTGCTAGCTCCTCCAGGATCTCTGATTTTGCAATCCATCGCCTTCCTCCTTTTTCCCTTTCAACCTGTAGCCTGGGCTTTTTGGTTTACCAGAATAGCAGAAGTAGGTCTAGCCCTTAGCACTGAGGCCTGAACCTCTCTGGTCCCCAGTGCTCAGTTCTCAGTGTTGTGCTGATCAAGAAGCTGCTGCTGCTGACTTAAGGTGTTAAATGCAGCAGGTGATTTCTTCTATGGTTTTGGAGATGGACTTTTCTGAACAAGCAATATGGTGAAAACAACTGTGCCAAGTGTCAACATGCTCCTTGGGAACACAAGATACCTCATTCCAAGTTCATTTGGAGGGAAAGTAAAAAAAAATAACACCACCACTACCTCAGTCCTCCCAGCTGTATGCTTTTATTGTCTTCCTGTCAGCTCTGGTGGGCTGAAACAGCTGATCCCAGCTCTGAGCTCAACTGTTCTCTTCAGTTGGGATAACCTTGTCACTTGGTACCTTCCAAAGATGATCAGGACAAAGACATGACTATCTGCATGTTTCTGCCAATAGGCAGAAACACTTGACAAAATTAGCTTTGAAATCTGAGTGGTCTGATTAAAAGTCTGTGGTGATTAAATACCTCATGCATGCCTTTTCATTTAGTCTGTTAATGGCAATGGCCCAAAGCCACATCCTGCACCATGACGAAATAAAGCCACACTGTCAGCTAGTCACTTCAAAAATGGAGCACTGCAACAGTGAGTAGTTGCAAGGAAGGTTCTAACACCAACAGGTGTTATTAAAAACACCACAGGTGGTTTTGGAGATGGAGAAATAAAATGCTGAGCTTTTGGTCTAAGTGCTGGTCTTTTTGATACCCAGTTGTGCAGCAGCTCACAGGGTTTTGTGCAGGAGGCAAGCCTTTTTTCCTCACAGAAGCCTGGCTGGTTTAAGGCCTTGTTGCACAGTTGAGTTGTGCAGGCAGGAAACATTTGCTAGCACCTCAGCACACACAAACTTCTGTTCTTGAAAGCACTTCAGTTGCCCATTTCACCTGGCTGGTGTTTCTTCCTTGACCCGTAGATGTGGGCACCTACAAGATAAAGCCTGTGAGCCCAGACACCTGCAATAAAGGGGAATAAGAAATGCTAGATGTTTTCACCAGGTATTCTGCAATGATTAAGTAAGTGTGAGAAAATAAAGTGTAAACTGAAAGCAAGTTTAAACTAATGGTTTGTTTAAATGTCAGCATCATTGAAAAAAAAGATGCTACTGGATCTTAACCCAGATGACCACAGTCTGTATTTTCAGAGAAAAACTGCCCTGCTTAATCTACTGTTACTGGGTCCTGATAAAGGTAAGGGCAGGACCTGTTTTGGGTAAACTCATCTAATAAGGTCATCTTAGAAGGGCCTGATCTAGTGTCTTCCACTGTCAGAATGTACTCTGCCAATGTTTGCAGTAGTTGTATGAAGGGATTTTAAAGTCTAATCAAGTTTCTTGAGCATGGTTGAAGTCTTTTCATAGAAAATTTGTGCCAGATTGGTGACTGAATTTAGCAGGAAAGCCTCATGCAATGGGGATCTTCCCAGCATTTTCTTTTATTTTATTCTTTAGTGTAAAGGAGGTAGGGATAGGTGATATTCAGAATAGTATTAAATTGATTTTATAACCACTTTTATATTGATTAATATGACAAGCAGCTCCTGTTTTACTAGCATCAGTTTTTAAAGTTGGTGCCAAAAATCGGTGCTGGTAAGGCAAGGCCTGTGTGATGGAAGATCAGCACATAGGAAAAACTAAGTTTCTCATTGTGTTTTAACCTATGAAAATGTATCAAGCTGTGTTATCTCAGACAGTTATCTGAGTTACTTTGTTTAAAGCAGTTAAATTTTGCTCTGTTCCTTATCCTGCAAAAGACTAATGTGCATAGCTAATGTCTGAGAAACTGTTAGTTACCAGTCTGCTTCCACCCTGTCCTGGATCTGAGAGTCATAATCCTAAAATGCCACAGCTGGGTAGTAGAGGTTCATCACTGCCAAGCACTAACACTTCTGTGAGTGCAAGCTCAGAGATCCTTGTGAGGATTCTGTCACTTGAAATGAATACTGGGAATGTTCAGCTGATCCTGAGGTTGCCACCTCTTGTCCTCTTCTTCCCAGTGTCTGGATTTGTCCCTTCCACAGCCTTCCTTTGTGGGCTCCCATGTGCTTGCTGATATGATACACTTCATGTCAAAAAGTCAAACACACCTTTGAGGTTTTTTTGGTTTTGGTTTTTTTTTTTAAATATAAAAATCATCTCTTCCAAAACAAGAAGTGCAAACTGAAATTACAATCAGCGTATTTTTGACAGTGCAGTAGAACATTAAATTTATAAATATAAATTATGACTGAATATTTAGCAATATTTAGAATTTTACATAAATTTAATACAGTAAACTGCAATTAAAAAAAAGACACCCATGGTTGGTTTTTTTTTGAGAAGCTTCCATCATAAATTCATTATCAGTCCAAAGTCATTCAAAATCAGTTTTGCAACTGCCAAACAGTGCATGTGCTATTGGCAAAAGTTGCTTGAGTTGCAAGAATTAGCACCGGTCTCTCATCTCTCAAGTTCTGCTTCCAAGATTTCTCCCCAGGTGTCAACGTCCATTGGATACATACTTTTCTCTGGCAAGCTGAATTGTGAAGGAATGTTACTGTATTTCCCACTAAGCCATTCTTGCTTCACTTTGCTTTTCCAGTAGTTTCTCAACAATGTAATCTGGTGGAAAAACATATATTCAGATCTCGGAAAGGAACCAATTTAAACTGCATTCAATAAAACTAAGTTTAGCACTAGAAGAGTACTGCTAGAAAAAGGATTTGAAATGTGCCTTTAGATATCTATACATTAAGCTCAGGAAGGGGCTGAGAAGCAGAGTATGCTCCACTTCCAACTTTTCTGTTCCTGCCTCAGTTTTTTGGTGGTTAAGATTAAAACCCCAAACCAGGAATTCATCTTACTCCTTAAAAGAGGCACCTTTTACTTTCTGTTTAGGTTGTGACCTTTATCTTTTGTTTGGAGGCTGGCTGAATTCTTCTTTTCTGCCAGCCTTCTGGGGCAAGAAAATGCAGACTTGTGTGTTTGTTTCTTCTATTTCAAATCCCCTCCAGATAAAACAATCAGTGCAGGGACTTCTGAAAATTGCTGTAGAAAGATCTACACACTGAAAGGGTAACCATTATCTGCTCATGGCTGTGCAGTAACTTTACTGAAATGTCAGAGTGCAGTGGCTGCTTTTGTTTCTTTTGCTGCTGCTTCTCTCTTTCCACCCCTCCAGTATCCCCCTGCTCTCAAATGCAGCAGCTAAAATAAGGTGGGAGATTACCCTCTAGCTGGCCCAGAGTAATCTGTGGAACCAGCTATCTAGTCTACCTGATCAGGTCCTGATCTACCTCAGCTTCCAGCCTGGATTCAACAGTGAGAGATCATTCAGCATGTTCTGGAGCTGAACCTGCTGCAAACTCCTCAGAGCAGGAGATTTTCTAAACAGTTTATAAAGGCTCCTCGTTTCCTTTTCTATTCCCCGTTACTTTTCCCCCTGGATGTGTGTCACTTGAGGTGTATTGAGACAGCGCTATCCAGGATGATTTTTCAGGAAGTCATTCCTAACCAGCAGATCTATTTCCACAAAATACCACCGGAGAGCACACACTGCCTGGCGGGGTTCTGTTATCTTCTCCCTGCCAGCCCTATCTGCGGGAGCGTGGGCTTTGTCCCATGTTAGGACTTGTGTACGATGAAGGTCAGCGCCGAGGCAGTGCGGGGAAGCAGAAGGACTAATGCCGAGCCGGACAGGTTGTGTCCCAGGTAGGAAAAGGGACAGCCTTGCTTTATCTCTCAGTGTATTTTACCAGATGTCCGTCTGCCGGGGATGCTCTACCGAGCCACGCTGTCACCGCAGCCGGTCCCCTCACAGCCCTAGGACGGGTGCGACGCGCCGATGTCATTTCCTTACACATTTCTATTGGCCCTCCTAGCAGCTTCGTCTATGTCACTGCCGGTGTTGTGCAGCTGGAGGTGGATTTACCTTCCAGGAGTAGCCGTTCCCCCGGTCGCTGTCGATCTCCCGCTGGCAGACGGCGCGCACGGCCAGGCAGTGGTGCCGCCACAGCCGCTCGTTGCCCTCGATGGCGCGGTGCCAGCCCTTGCACGTCACGGACGCGTGGCACAAGCTCTCCACATCCAGCCCGCTGAAAATCCGGGAGCTGATCTCGGGAGGAAGGGCGGACACGAAGTCACCCGCTCCTCCTCCCCCCGCCTCGGCGCTGTCCCTGCCGGCAGCGCGCCCCGCGTCCATGCCCGCGGCCTCGGCCTGGCGAGGCGTCACCGCGGCCTCTCCGTGTGCGGACGGCCGCCGCCGGCCGCGCTCTGGGCCGGCTGCCCGCCTGCTGCCATGTCCCCGCCGGGCGCCCGCTGCGGGATTTCGGGGCGAATCTCGGCACTTTCGGGAGCACGGAGGCGGCGCTGCCGCTCGGCCCGGGGAAGCCGCGCGTCACGGGGCGGCCCCGCGTCATCAGGCGGCGGCGGCTCCTGCCGGGCCCGGCACCACCTCCGGCCCCGGCCCGGCGGCTCCGGCACCCTCGAGGTGAGGCAGGCCCGGCCCTGCAGAGCCGCGGGCCCGCGGTAGCGACACCCGCCCCCAGGGCCGGCTGGTTCGTGTCGGCAGCCGCGGGGTTTAAAGGGCAGCGCTGTAACCCCGAGCCGGCTCCGCCGCGGGTGGAAGGGGCGGGCAAAGCTCGGCTCCAGCGGAGGGCAACGAGGATGGTTGGGAGAGTGGAGAGTCCCTCGTAGGAGGGAGGGATGGAGCAGCTGGGCCTGTTCAGCTTCGAGAAGAGACGGCAAAGAGTATTCATTTATATAAGCGAAGAGTGCCAAGAGGATGGACCAGGCTGTGCCCACTGGTACAGAACGATAGGACAAGAGGCAGTGGGCAGAAAGTGATGCACAGACTGAATATAAGGGAGAACTTTACTGTGCAGCGGCTGCACATGGGACAGATTGCCCAGAGAGGGTGTGGAGGGTCCCTCAGCGGAGATATTCCGGAACCATCGGGATGCAATCCAGTGCCATGTGTTCCGGGATGACCCTGCTTGAGCAGGGAGGATGAGCCACTGTGGTCCCATTGAACCTCACCCATCCTGGGGTTTTGTGAGCCCATGCAGGGCTGAAGGGGTGAGGGCAGAGCTTAGCCCTTGGTGTTTCTCTTCATAGGGTGACAGAAGTGCAGAAAGTTCTGGAAGGGTTGGCAGAGACTCCCCAGTGCTTCTGTGCAGGGAATACTGCAGCAATTAGACATGTTTTTCCCTAATTATTTGTGCTGGCGAATTGAGTAGTGGAAAGGCAGTGTGTTGAAGGAAAACAGTTGCAGTTTGGATCTGCTTTCATAACCTAAAAAGCTTTTTAGATGTAGTGGCTCTGTACTGGGGCTTTTGAAACTAGCACCTGAGTATCTAGTGTCACCTCAGTGCTGCAGGCTTGTAGCCTGTAGTGAGAACTTTCTGGGAAATGCCTGATTTATTTGGCATCCGATCCAAAAAACTGCGTGTTAAAATCGTTGCCTGACTTCTAAAATAGGATCAGGTTTTGGGGAGTTGTGCGGTTTTACTATAAAGCAAATTCCAAGATGCCTTTCTGCTTTCTCCAAGTTTTGTCATGGCAGCAACCAGTGTAAATTACGTACTTAAACCCCAAAACACCACAGTGGTGGTCAGCAGTTATTAGAGAGTCTTTTGTTCAAAACCCTTTAGGTGTGAAGTAGAAGGAAGGTGCATTTATTTCCTCTGTAATTGGGTTTTGTAAGAGGATGTTGATGGTCAGTTTCAAACTGCATTTGTTAATGGCAAATGTTCAGACCAACTTTTGTGTTTGAATCAAAAGTGCATGTTTATGTCTGTAGCATGTGAGTAGCTAAAACTGATTTTGTTTCGTCAGAAAAAAAACAGGAGGCTGATGCAGAAGAAGCACCAACTGTCGATGCTGTTGAGATGTCCTGTATTCCATTGTTAATGGAACCAGCATGTTCCAGCTCTGAGGTTCAGGAAGCTGCAAAAATGAGGAATAATGATGCTGCCTCCAGACTTGTGGTGGGTGCTTAAGTTTTTAATGAAGTTCAATATTTGTAAGCACATGTTGAAAGTTAAGGAGGTGTTGTGTTTACTATACAAATGAAATGTCAGACTTTGCTGTAGTTGAGATCCTTGGAGTGGACTGGCTCAGGAAATTCAAAATTATGGTGCCGTTTTCAGTAAATAATGAATGTGACTTTGATGTATTTGCACTGTTTTTACAGGTATTTAGAGTCTGGTTACTTTCTGGAGAAATAAATTGTAGGAATGCAATAAAGACTTTTCTGTTTGGGTTTTGTTTTTTTCTTTTTCTTGGACAAATAGGCTTTTGTTAAACTTGCTCTTTCTGTTATATCTGTGTGTGGAAACTGGAGCAAGATGGTGGTAAAGCTTTTCTATTAATCTTTCAGTTTGTAGCCTTTTAGATATTTATTCCAAAGACCTGAAAAGTTTTGTTTTGTTTTGATTTTACTGCACGAGGATTCCTATAGCTGTTGTTTTTCTGGGTGGGTGGAAGCTGCTAGAAAAGTCAAATATTTGAGCAATGGTCCCCATGTAAAAAGTGGGTGGTTACCCAGACTGCTTTTGAAGGGCATAACTGAATACAAACTGTGGTCTAGTTCCCCCCCACTCTTCAGTACCTGGATAAAGGCACTAAACAGTAAATTATGTTTCAGGTTCCTCTTTCTGATGACAATGAAAGCAAACAGTCAAAATCTATTCAAAGAAAGAGAGTGCTTCCATCTTGGATGCTGGAAAGAGATCTCCTGGTGCAGAAGGTTTCCAAGCCTGTAATGACAGGAGGTAGGTTTGCAGTGTGGTAACAATTGCATTCCCATATGCATTTCTGTGCTTTGATGTAATTTTAAAAATTATAATGGTGGTGGTAGAAAGTATTAATGTGCTACTTCTCTTTCCATGCTCTGTGTGGGGCAGCTGACAAAGACTGACTTGTGTTGTCTTCTTTGTCATCAGTCCTGTGGGTGTGGTAGAGCCCTTTTTCATCAGTTAATTTTCTTTCTGTTCTTTCTGTTTTTAATGCCAGATAATAAACTCTGTTTGCACAGCTGAGCATTAGATGTTATGGAGCCCTTTCTTACAAACTTGCCTATGCAAATGCCATATGCAAATTCTAGGTAGTTTCTGTCTCTTTAATTTCTAGCCTTCTCCACACTTAGGTCACTGATGTTTTGCCCTTCTAAATTTAGATTCTTAATTTCACACATTTTAAAGGTAGAAGGGTTTGGGTGGTGTTGCATGTTAGTTTTTTAATCATTACTGAATCAAACTTGGTTATTTAGTCCAAAGTTAATTCCTAGGAGGAGCAGTTCATTACAGTCTGATAGTTTCTTACCAACATGAGGCTAAAATAGTGTTGCATTCCCTCCTGTTCTTGTGGGAAAAGAAATTGCTGGACATGTCATGGACTCCTGCTGCTGCATATCAGCAGTGACAGCAGCAGAAGGCGGTGCTCAGTCACTGTCAGTGGGACACATAATGCCTATGCGTTGGCAAGAGCTCAAGAAGACAATCTTAATATTTCTAACATGAAGAGTCAGGATTTGACTTTGGTCCTGGGAGCTTCTAAAACTGCCATTAGGCAAACTTTCTACGTGGTGCTTATTGCCCTTACAACTTTCATGGGTGGAACAGTTGGGCTAAAGAAGTGAGAAGGAAGAAACTGTTCCTGTCATTCCCTGTGCTGAGCACAGCACCCCACACCCTGTTTGCCCTTCAGTGGGGAGGAGTGAAGTGGTTTGGGTGCAAACTGTTGAGTTTCCTTTGCTGATCAGTCCAAGTGTATGAACTGCGGCTGGTGAGTGTATGTCTGCTCCCCTGTATGCAGCAGCTCTGCTTTAGTCACTCTCTTTCCAGCTGCTGTTTCTGCTGAGATGCTGTAATGGATTTGGCCCTTACTGCCAAGCAGCCCCACAGGAGTTATGTTATTATGTTATGTTAGTTATAATATTATGTTATGCAGTGTCTGGCCACTTGCTGCTTCTCTCCTGTTGTAAATACAGGAGTCTGTGTGCACTGGTGAGGGCAACTGTGGCTTTAAACACCTCAGTCATGTGCCATCCACCACACTGCCTATTCTTTTCTTCAGAAGCTAGTTTGGAAAAAAAACTGTCAGATGCAAAAGAAAATCTGTGTTTCAGTATCCTTTTCTTCTAAATCTAGACTGTTTCCTTCTGCCTTATTTATATAAAAATTACATGGACTTTAACTGGCTATGCTGAGTCCTGTACTGGTGTGATAGTTTTCTTATGTTTGTGCTTTTGTTTTGTATTTCTGGGGGAGTGGGGTTTGTTTGTTTATTTGTTTGTTTCTCTGCCAGTACTATAACAGTTGTTACATGTATGCATATGATATTTATTTCAAAGACTGAACACTTTGATTGTGTCAGTTTTGAGATTAGGAGCTGTGTGGGTGAGATGTATCTGAAGGCCTGACCTTGAAGGAACTGGGGGTTCATGCAAACGTTATTGGAACTGTTTAAAAAGTCTTTCTCACAACTGCTACTGTTTCTCATATCATGTGCCCAGTCTTCTGCTTTAATGATTGCTAGTGTCAGGATTTCATTGAAAAAGTTGCTTTCCAAAAGTACCATTTTTTCTTTTTTTTTAAGGTAGTAGAAAGAAAAAAGGCCAAGGAAGGGGAGAACGTCATGCAGAGTCATTAAAAGCAGAAGTACATGTACAACAGAAAAAAAGATTAGCTTCTGAAGAAACTATTGAGGATTTTGAAGGTGGAGAACAAGATCAAGGGAAAAGGAGCTGCCTTTCCATCCCTGTTCCTTCATCTCAGGTAACTTTTTGGCTCAGGGCAAAATGATAAGGCAAAAAATGAGAATGTAGTTGGCAATGTCATGTTGAAGGTTGGGTCTATAACATAACTTTTTGTTCTATATGTGCTGCTCGTGATTTGTTGTTTAGAAATACCAGTCCATTGGATAGCTCTGTAGAAAGGATGGTGGAATCCTCAAAGATTTGGTTTTCTGTATTTCCTTCAAAGGATCTGGGACTTGGGCCCCAAGTGTCCCACAGAAGTACCAGACTATGAGCTTTGCAGCAAGAGGCAGGAACACTGACCAGAGCACTGCTCCTAGGAGTGGCTGGTGCATGTGGTTTCTTTTCCTGAGAACTTTTGGGGATAGGTGATGCTGTGCTACTGATGTAATGCGACACTGGGCTTTGCCCAAGCTGTTGCTGCTCTAGTAGGTGAGGGTTTATGGTCAGAGAAGGATGGTGTGTGGCTGAGCAGCTGCTGTGTTTCAAAGGAAAATAGCAAGGAGTGTGCTTATGCCACCATCTCAAAATCTGAGGGAAAAGGGGAAGGGGGAAAAAAAAGTAACCTGAAACCCAAAATAATTCGTGGCAATGAGTAAACAGACCCTTTGGTCCAGCTGGTCCAGTGTCTCTGTGACCTCTATTTAGAGCTGCATTTACAGGCAGTTAAATCCTTACTAATAACATCCTGCAAGTGGTGAAAAGAGAAGGATCGTTGCTAAAGACAAAGCATATTCTGGTGAGAGCAAACTGAGGATTTCACTGACTTGTTTTCTTTAAGTGAACCCCTTGGGGAGGTGTTTTTAATATTTGGCATTAAAATTGCCTGGGTGTGTTCTAGGATCTGATAAAATACTTAAAATGCTTCTGACATTGAAAATTATTGGGGTTTTGGTTTGAAGATTGTTTGAAATAAACCATGCATGAAGAGCAAGTAGTAGGTAGTAGTTTTGGTATAACAGTGGTCCGCTAGGTGCATTAATAACAGCTGCTGAGCTATTTTCTCTTTTCCAGGTTATAAAATGAGTGACTACATAATGAAGTATTCAATTTTGCAATTTGCAAGTAGGAAGCCTTACTTATTTTCACCTAATAATTTCATAAATCATTTTAATCTCAAGTACAGTTTAAGAAATTGCTTTCAGGACTGCAGAAAAACTGATGTATTAGGGCAAGCAAGAGTAATAACCACAGAGAGCTCCGAAAGACTGTAATTTGGATAGCAGAGCCTAAATCACAGTCCTGCTGTCGAGTTTGAGGCAATTGAGAAAATGTTCCGTAGGGAAGAAAGCAAAAGTATCTGAACTGTTGTAGTTGGCAGCAGCCGCCAGAGGGTGCCGAGGCCCCGCGCGTGGTGTCCCAGTGCTGGGCACCGGAGGATTTTGGTTTCCCTGGATCTCAGCCAGGGTGTGACTGATCCTAATCCATGTGCGCCTTCTGTCTCCTTATGTGCAACACAGGCAGTGGGTTGAAACCCGTGGCAGAGAGCTCGCAAGTGGTAGTGGCAAATAACAGTAATTTGTGCTTTCTTTTGCAAAGGAAGGCTTGTTTCTTATGTCTCAGCTTGGTGAGCTGTATTTTGGGAGTTGTCTTTGTCTCTTAGCTGAGTCACTAAATATGATTCTGTCAGGATCATCTGATATTAATGCTGACTTTGCCCTTTCTTAATCACGTTGCTGCTCAAATGTAATTGTCCCTGGTTTTGGATAACATTTTATCCAAAATTGACTTGCATTGAAAGGAGCAAAATCAAATAGGAAATCACTGGCTAGTTTTCAAGCTCTGCCAAACACACCTGTGTAAACTAATTATAAATTCACTGGAGGGAAAACAGATAAAAATCTTTAGAAAGCAGAGACTTTTTAATAGTTCTATGATGTATCAAAGTAGTTCAGCCTTGAATGTAGATATGCTTCCAGGTAATGTCTCAATTGTCAGGACTGTGTTCTTTCCCCCAGTTGTGAATCTCATATTCTTTTTCTAAAGAACACATTTCTTATTTTAAATGTACATTTTTTTCCAAAATTTAAAATGCAGTTTGTGTCAAAACTGAAATATTTGCTTAATGGTGACTGTTATGATTTAGAGTCATGAGCTGAAGCATTTAAGATGAATCAGTGTGTGATTAACCTCAGGGTATATATCCTGAGTTGCCATGTATCTTCTATATAGATAAATACATATGTACTCCATATATCTTGGTGCTTAAATTGTTAAGAAATTAATTAAATTAGTAAGTAATTCCTTAATCATTTAAATTGATTCTTAGGTAGGAGTCTACATTCTTCTGCAGTCTACTACATCTTCATCCCATTAATCCCCATAAATTTTTCAGGAGCAGTACTTTTAATTGTAAAATAAACTAGTCCTTGGACTACTCACAAACTGAGGTGGTGAGAGAAGAGGGCATGTTGTGAGGGAACAAGCTGAGGAAGGAAGCTGTTGGATAAGCTTTTCTTTAAGAGTGTGTGCTCTCTGTGTTTTCTGAACTTGAGGTTTTCATTCAGCAGCTGTGTTTAGCAGTGCACTTGAGTTTGGGAAGTGCAGTAGAAGATTTTTAAAGCCTGGGCAATCTTTCAAGGTCCTTTCTAACTTGGACTGTTCTATGACTGATTTTGAAAGCAGGGATGATGAGGCAATTTTACTTCAAAGCTTTTAATTCTGAGGTGTGTGAATTTTCAGGTTCTTCAAAATGTAACCTTGTTCCACAGAATACATCTGGATTTCCTCTTGAGACTACCATGAGAGATATGGAAGGAAGTGGCAAGACTGGAACAAAAAGCCCTGGAAGTTCTCTGGAAAAAAATGATAGGCAGCTGCATAGCAAATGGTCTAAAAGAGCAGGTCATATCTCCAGTAAAGACAATAGAATTGAGGAAACAGAAAACAAAGAGCAGATTACTGGTTCTACAAGCCAACAAGCTCACTGGGGCAGGACTTCCCAATACTTTGGTGCCCAGGAAGGGATTCCTGAGCCTGATGCAAATCTGGACTACAACACTGAGATTTCTGATTCAGACAGAAGTGCAGATGCTTCAGAAAGCTCCAAACAGATGCAGCGTAAGAGGACACCTTGCATGTATGGAAGTGGCTGTTACAGGTAAAGCAGAATTAAAACTAGCTTGGGCAAACTGTAAAGTTGTTACAAGCTTTGATTTGGAAAAACATCTTGGTGAACATAATTTTAGAAGGATAAAAAGAGGAGCTGGGATGTCTTCCTAACTCCTAATACAACCCAAACAAGGGATGAAGTACTTGATCAAATTAAAAGATGAAGTGTTGCATGAAATAAAATATAAAGGTCCAATATAAAAGGAAAAGAAATAAAAGACCTGTGTGTATGGTATGAGCAGGGAGAAGAGATGTAAAAGGTTCAAATGCCCAACACAGACCCTGTAGGTTTGTTTTATTAGCAGGTGAGACTTATATGAAATATTATTGTGTTTATTGAAGTTACTGCCTGCTTTGCGATTTGAATGTTTAAAATACTTACTATTTGTCATCTGTTAATAATCAAGAATTTATTTTATTATAACTTGGTGTTTCTGCAATTTTTTTTAAGCTTTCAGTACCCCTAAAACCAGAACAAAGCATATTTAGAACTTGTTGGAAATGCTTCAAGTGAGGAATAACTGGGGTTTTTCCTCTTCTTTTTCACCCACTCATATCCTTTCAAGATGGAGGTGGTAGAAGATTTGTCATACAGATGTTCCAGAGAAGTTCCAAAATACCAGTCCTGGGTGCCTGGCATCCTGCTGGTTCTTTCTGCCCAGAAAAGATCTGTGGTGTTATATTGAAGGGAAGGTTGAAATCTAGAGATGCTCTTGAGCCTAGAAAATGCCCAGTGACCTGTGAACTACATTTAGGAGAAGGTTTTGAGCTCTGGATAATCCCATGCACTTTGTAAATACAAAAGACAAGTGTAATCCAGGAAACAGCAGATCCTGTGAATTTTTTTATCTTCCCCCAAGGGGCATCAGCAATAATAAAAACAGTGAGTTTGATTAGGAACCAAACAAGCACAAGTGTGACTGGGTTCCTGTATGTTTGGTGGGCCTGATGCTGAGATAACTGTGTATATCAAAACTGTAAAGCTGTTGTATTCATGAGCACATCATGTGTCGGTTTTCATGTAGCTTTGACATACCTCATTTTTTCCCCTTAATGATATGACAAAAGCATGTCTTATTAGACAGTTCTGTTGATCCAGTAGTACAAATGCAACCTCTGGTTTGCTCCAGCTACTTTGAATTTTGCTGAGACAAGTTTTGCACTGTATGAGTATTAAAGGAGATTTAATGCTCTGATATGATGAAATATTCCTTATCTTTAGGAAAGCAAATCTTAGGTAATGGTAATAAGGAGTAGGAGTCTGTGTGTGCAGATTTCTTCCTGGGTCTCTTGATTGTGAAACATTTGGTAGCAACATTTTTGAAAAGTATTGCTTTATAAAAAGAAAAGAATGTTCTGAAATAATGAATAGCAGTCTTACTTTGTCAGAGAAATTTGTAAATAGGGAGAAGCAAAAATGTCAGCTTTGATCTTCAGGAAAATTACGAAACTCACCCTGTTTGCTTGCAGCAAAAGAAATGTGCTTTGTAGTCTGTCTTTGCTTTTAATTCAAGGCCCCTAAGTAGTTATTTCTGCATGGTGGCAAAAGTGTGTTAGAACAAATACTAAATATTAGTTCTAGTTATTAGTTATTAGTTATTTGACTACATTTCTGTTAGCCTGTCATAAACATTTAGGAAGTAAATTTGTAACCCATAGTTCAGTTTCTTCATTTATGAATTTGTAAACAGTGCTTTTGAAAGAGTCAAACTCAATGCACACCTCTTGCCCCAAGGAGTCTGCTTGTCACCTTTGTTCAGTGTCACTTTCTGAGGTGCCCAAATTCAAAGGAGCTGCTGTTAGCATGAGGAGGCAAAATGCTCTGTGTGTGTTGTAGCTGCCTGTATCTGTTGTCGAGGAACTCACCCTCTGAATACTGTCACATGTCCTTGTCTGCTGCTTGCTTTTCTGAAGTTAGCAGAATTGGGAATTAAATTTACCACCACCACCCTTTTTAAGGGCCACCATAGAAGGGGTATAGTAGACCTGAACTCTTATCTCTGAAACTGGAACTCAAAATCTTTCTTCCACGATCCAATTCTTTTGCCATAGCCTGGAGTGTAGCTCTTTGCTGACTGGGGGTGTGTAAATCTCTCCTAGAGAGATTTACTATCAGAGCAGGGGATGCTTAACCAATGTTTGGATTTGTTTGTGGGTTCTTCTAAATACTTTGCTTTGTTTGTTTGTTTGTTTATGAAAATAAGTATTTTTCCTTCCACTCTAAGTTTGTACATCAGGCAGCTAAAGACCTGTGTCTGGCTTTTTTTGAGTCCTGTCTCCTATATTTTAATTCAGAAGTAAAATATAAAACTTGCAAACATGTTATGTGTAGCCATGGCATAACTTCAGGCTTGAATTCTATGGCTTTATAAGCAGTGCTGGTAATTCATTACATTTTCACTAGGAGGTTCTTTCAGTAGCTGAAGACGTAAGAACATGAGATGTCAAGGGATCTTCTGCATGGGATTGTGAGGAATCGGGGATTCTGAACTGGTCAGTTAAATTTGCTTTATGAGCAGTTTTTAAAGTTTCTTTTGATAGCTACACAGATGAATGACTGTCTTAAATATTTCACTGAGCAGTACTCAATTTCTGCTTGAGGATGATTGCATTGATTCTGAAGAAGTTTTAAAGTTTTATTTGCACAGTTTTTGTTCGCATAGTTTCCTACATCATGAAGTGTTGACTACACAAATTTAGAGTTTCTGTGAAAGCAAAGCTGCAGTAACTGTGTCAGTATGTTTTTATGAAGGCAACAGTCATAAAACTTTCTTATTAAAATAGGCTTTTAATTGGTTACTTTTCATGTAATTAATTGATCAAATGAATTAACACATTCCTGTGAACCGAGGCTTTGTTGTGAAACAGTTAACTTTGGAATGCAACTTGGAGTGTGATAGATGTGCTCCTGTAACTGAAATGTCTTATGTCTAGAAATAAATATTTAAAAACCCCAAACAAAGGAAGAAGGAATGAAGAAACCTTAGGGTTTTTCTGAAAAAAAGGGAAGGTGTTTGCTTATTAGCTGTGCACTTCTCTGCTTCCTTTTATTTTGCTGGTTATTGTTGCACTACGCATAGAGTAAGTATAAATTAGCCAGGTAAAGCTGAGATAAAATGGGATGTTTCTCCTGAGCATCTGAGGTAGGACATGTTTGAGATGCTCCACAGGTAATGTATAATTTAAGAAGCATCATCTACTGGCTGAAAGACTCCTGAAGCCTAGTGACAAGGACTTGTACATCACAACTCTTTCGTTGCTCTTCCTCCTTTTTCCCATGCTGCTTTTTCTTTTTTTCCCCCTTGCCTTCAGTAATGGCTGTTTGGTGTTGTCCAAGTAGGTCTTGAAGCGATGTTTTTAAAGGAAATGGTATCTCCTGAAATACAATAAATCTGCTAATTGACAGCTATTAGTCCTTCTTTCCTTGGCAACTATAATGTTAAGTGTTATCTTGATGTAGGAATAAGGATAAAAACCTACTTCAAAGAACCTCTGTTGCTGCTGTATCCCTTTCAGAAGAAAAATTATATTACATGTGGCTGAGAATTCTTGCTATTACTGCAAGTACGTTAGCTCTGTGCATTAAGAAAACAAAACAAATGGCCTCTAAATTATTTGGTTTCATCCCATTTATTTTTAATGGGGAAAGAAGTAGGCAGCCAATCTGAATTTGTCACAACAAGGGATGTTTCATGAGAATTTGTTATGGAATAAAAGACTGCAACCTTGCAGTACTTTCTAGTGAAACATCATTGAATTATTCTGCAGTTTGCAGAAGCAACAAAAGACCAGGACAAGAAACCTATCACCTATGTAAGCAGATCCAAAAGGATACTGGATCTTTAATAAGTGGCTTATAGAAGAGTTTATTTCTAACTTGTTTGTGGAGTTTCCTGAGTGAAAGACATCCAGCAAATGGAGATTCAAAGAATTAATACTAAATATCTGATATTTTTTGAATGTCAAAAGGAGGCCTGAATGGCCAGCGGAACTCACAGTGTTTAACAACAGAGTAACAAATGCTCTTTTGTTATGGGGTTGTTGAAACATGCTAAAATGAACATTCACTCTCGTCTATGAAGTTCAGAAGAGTTACTTGTGAATTTAAAGGAATTTCTCAGATCAGTGAGGAAGTTGCTGTGTATGGAGATGGCTGCACACGTCCTTGGCATGTTTCATACTTCTGAATGCTTCTAAATGCAGCTGCAGCAAGTCCAAGTTATAACAGGAAGTACTCTGTAGCTGAAAGTTGTTATTCCTCCTGCTTGAGGCAGGCAGCTCACTTTTATAATTTGCACAAATACACTAGAGGTTATGTACTCTGAGAATAATTAAGGGAATCACTAAAGTATTTTGTAGATGTCTTTTGGCAGATAACTTATTTAAAAATGTCACATTTCTTCTCAATACTATGCTTGGAAAAAAAGTCTCTAAGAAATTATAGGGAAAAAGTAGATTTGCTTTTGCTACTAGTATGTTAATGTTGATGTAATTTTTTGTAGCATGTTTATCACATGAATTTGTCCTGAAGTCAGAACTTGATTTCCTGTATTCTTTTAAACTCCACTTGCAACAATTCTAGAAAGAAGAAAACTCTTCTTCAAGTGATGTTTATGACTGCCTGGTCTTGAGTGGTGTGTGTACAAAGCTCTGGCCGAGAAGTGGTAGAAATGTTCTTTCAGTGATGCATAAATCTGTGTTCCCTACTTGTTTACCTCAGATTCAAGTGTTGTAGAGCAAGAAGTTGTGGATGATGGTCTTGTGCAGTCCTCACTAACACTGGTGTGACTCAGCTACACATGGAGTTGTTAATGTCTTATGATACAACTTCATGTCAGCACACTAATTTGTAATTCACATAAAACCTTTTGTGTATTCGTTGGAGGTCTGAAACTTAAAGCTGGTGGGAAATAGGAAATTTCCTGGTTTAACCTCTGTTGCAGCAGGTGCTAGGACAAAATTTCTTCTGTTATCCTGAAAGCAGGTCATACATTCTACATCAAGTTAAACATTAAAAGCTTCTCTTCATGTAACCACAGAAAAATGAGCTGTCAGTGATTCAGTTTTATATGTCCTCTCCTTGTGGTGAAATGGAACAGTCAGTTTTGGTGTATATTTGTCTTTTGCAGGAAGAATCCCATTCACTTCCAGCAGTTCAGTCATCCTAATGATGATGACTATCATGACATGGAGATGGTGGCTCAGGATGACAATGACAACCGGCCTGAGTGTCCCTATGGAACAGCTTGTTATCGGTGAGAAAGCCTGTGCAAAGTGGCTTTGCTTGTTTACAGGTTAAGGATGTTCCCCTCTGCAGTTGCAGAATGGCACTGGAATAATGACTAATTCTTTAAGTTAATTCTTTGACTGTAGCCTTCTGAAATTTACTGTGGCCAGACTGCTACCCTTAAAGCGTCCAAGTCTGTGCATATTTTTAACGTTGACACAGTAAAAATCACTATTTTGGTAATGATATCAGGTATCAGGGATGAAAACTTGACTATTCAATGGAAATCAACACTGTATCTCTTTTCAACATTCAGTAAATTGTTCTTTATTATATAAACAATTTATTGTTACATGTTGTTCTTGATCTGTAACTTTTAGTTTAAATTTTGATAATGTATTTGTTGAGATTTTGTACAAAAACTATTTTAATCAGTACTTGATTTATTACAAGGCATAATTGAGGTAACAGCATGTCACCCCAGGACAGAGCAATAAAATCCATTTATGGCTGGCTGCTGTTTCTTCTAAGAACTGCTGATTTTCTTCAAAATATAGTTGTATTCCATTTGTTTTTCAGTATCTAAGTTTTACATATGTAGCAGATTGTGTAATTATCACAATGGACAAGAAGATATATTTTGAGGCAACAGCATTTCTATGGGAGCATATTGAAACTAGTGGCTGCTGTTAAAGATTGTTTCTCCTCAGAAACATTTTCTCCTGGAAAGCGTGGTTGTCCTAAAATGTCTCCCTGAAATGTAACAAAATAAGGACAGCTCTTAGGAAAAAAACCTTGGTGATACTCAGCTAATGCACAAAAAGTGGTTCTCTTGAAAACACCTATGAGATGAATTTCCCATCTCGCTGAGAGGTGCAGGCTTATATCAGTAATAAAATTGCCAACATACTTTCAAGAATACAACAGATGCTTTACCTAAACCCCAAACTGCCTCTCCTTGCAGATAAGACAACTTGCATTAGTTGATAATTTTCTTATGTGTGTTTCATTCTTTGGGGATAGAGGAAAGAAGGCACCCACGAAAATTTAATCATTCTTTTGATGAAGCAACAGATGTAATTTGAAGGGGTTTTGTGTTAATTTTGTTGTCCTTACTGTTCTTTGTGCCTTGAAAATTATCTATGAAATACCAGGGATTTCTGCACCTTACAAATGTGGAACAAGGTGATGGAATCAAGCTTTTACTGTTTTCTTCTTTGCAGGAAGAACCCCCAGCATAAGCTGGAATACAAGCACAGTGCACCTCCAGGTGGGCTAATTTGTTCAATATTACAGAATCACAGAAAATTCTGAATTAGAAGGGACCCACAGGACCATCAAGTCCATCTCAATAAAATACTACTCCCTTTAGGGAATAAAGTTGCATTTATCGCTCCCTCTGTATTAGGATTATTTTCTTTTTTCTGGGATTTTTTTTTTAATCAGAAACTCTCAGGTATGATACAATTTTGAAGTATTCTGATACTCTAAACAAAATACTGCAACCATATCTGTCGTCTTTTTGTGCTGGATTTTTTTACCAGTGATTTTCTTACTGTAAGAACTGATTTATGCATATATGTTCTCTTGAGGCCTTCTTGGGGACTGGAGGGAGTTTAACTAAAACTGAATTTGATTTCCTAATCTAACACTTCATAGTCTTTTTGTATTCCAATAACTTGATTTGGCAAAAAAAAACACAGGGGAATGTGCTGTTTACATTTTGTCTGCTCTTAAAGAATTAAAAGAAATACATCTTGGTTTTATTTTTTTGGGGTGCTTTCTCTTGATTATTGGATTGGAATTTTTACACATGAAATCCCAATGAAATAAACAGTAGTTTAGAGCAGAACACTTATGAAAATATCATGATAATGCATTTTACTTCGAAGATTCAGGACAATGACATTATTAAGAAAGAGTAACATTTATGGAAATAGTAGTGTAAAATATTTAAATGCCCTAAAATATTCCAATTTCCTGCTTAAAATCCCTGAGTCAGACAGAATTTATAACATTTGTCTACAGATGTCAGGGATGATAATTTTAATAATAGTAATAAATAATTTTAAGAATAATTTAAGTTTATCTGGGTAATCTCTTGGCAATGATTCAAGACAAAACCGGTATTTTTGGGGCATCAGAGTAGCTTTTTATACTTGTAAGTACAGCTCAACCATTTCAGCATTTTTTTAATAGGTCAGTTTTATGTTGTAGCAGCTGTAAGAATAACCCTTATGTCAGGGTTTCCTCTGTCCTGACTGACAGCTTCCCTTTCTTTAGTAACTGGAAGAGGAACACAACGACGATCTTCAAGGAATGGTGAGTACATTCTAAAGTTATGAGTGGGCACATCAGCCTGGGACACAGTTGGTCTGCTGTGGCCATTTCAACATTTTATTGTGCTGGAGATGCTTGATAATAATAGCTGAGGAGAAAGTAGCCATTATTTGAGTAAAATCCTTCTTGTTTTCTTACAAGTAATAGTGCTTCAGTTGAATTTGTGCCAGTCTTCCTGGATAATCATAGCTGTATTTGCCTAGAAGCAGACAAGGAAACAAACATATTTTAAGGAGAGACACATATGGCTAAATGGTGTCTTCCATCCTCACTCCTTACACAGCAGCCATAGTAGGATGGAAGGAATCCAGTATTTCATGAACAGCTAGTTAAGGTTGCTGTGTAAGGAGTGATTGCTTTTGCAACATGGAGATGCTCCCTCTGCATTGCATTGACCTTTAAATAACCTTCAGGTGATAGTCTGTGCATGTGCTGATGAACTCACTCTTACCCTGAGTTATTGATGTTTTAGGGCTTGTTAGGATCAAAGTGCAGAAGTTTATGTATGTTGCAGGTGCACAGACTCAAGTTTTAAACATGCTTAGGTCTGCTTTCAGGATTCTTTTGTATCTCATCTTCCAAATGTGTAGCTTCCTGTGCTTTCTGAAATTGAAAGTGAGCTTTAAAGAGCAGTCTGAAAGTCTGATGCTGTGCAAGCTTCACTTTCAGTGGCCAGAGTAAGGCAGGAGGGTGTGGAACTGCTGCATTTTGAGTGGGAGTGGGAATTGGCTTGCCTTCTTTGAGATCACCAAGCAGTGGCTTGGAATTTCCTCAAGAAATCTTCAAAATGGATCTGCTTTCTACAGAAAATAAATGGAAGTGCAAATAGCTGTAGTTAGCTTTCCAGGCAAAGTGTTTTGGCCTCTATTTATGTTGTGGGTGGCCTCTATTTCTGTTGTGGGTGAATGCAGGAGGTTGTTTTAAACTTTCCACTGAGAAATTCCTTTGCCACACCATTTCCTTATCAAGTTTGTGTGCATGTTGGCTGTCACCAAATATTTGCTATGCTTGTATCTGTGCACCAGCATATTCTGAGGCATGTTTGTTACTGTCTTAGTTTAGGGCAAATTAGGAAGGAAAACTCCAAATGGGGATTTCCCCAGGGAAATGCCCCTCCCCACTAACTGGTCCGGGAAAAGAAAAAAATTCCTTAGAGAGAAGTGGAAAAAGCTGTTTATTTAACAGAAATTGATTAATATTAAATAATAAAACCTCTTGCTGTTCGATGGGATGGCAAGTCTAGGAAGAAAAGTCCTTTTCATGTGGTGTAGCTCGGCTCGCTCAGGTTCTTATCAGTCCCTCCGGCGCTGGAAAGTGCCGAGGCCCAGGCCCCGGTGGGCCACAGGCGTGAGCTCCCGGGGTTTAGCTGGGTGTTCAGTCCAGAGCAGGCTTGCACAGATCCAAGAAAATTGGGAAAAAAAACAAACAAAGGTCTAGGGAACTCCTCTGCCTCAGCTAGCTAAAACTAACTAAAATCCAGAGAGAAGCTCTGTCCCGCTGTCTGTCCGTGCTGCAGACACCACAGTCCAGGAGCGGGATGTGTGGGAGTGATGTTTTTCCTTAACACAAACTGCGCGCTTCTTCTTCCCCCTCTCTTGCTCTCAAAGCCAGTCTTAAAGGTGCAGAACTTAATATATAACATAAACCAGACGATTGGGGATACCAGTATCATAAAGTCACCCCAGGACAGTTACCTGTGTGCTTTAGTGCATCCTGTGATGCAAATACCAGCCTCATCTTGGTCAGAGGTCTGTGGTAGAAATTTGTTTACAGAGTGTTGAGGCATGCACTGAGTGTTGGAGATTTTAGAATGAAGCAGGCTGGGCTGTGTGCATATCTAAAAGTCTAAATTTATTCTTGAAGGTTTTAAATTGTAGCTGTGCCTCTCATAAGAGCATCTTCCTTACCCAAATAGTAGGTTCTGTGTTTGCAGCTGATGGTCAGGCAGGGGTGACTGAAGGGAGAAGTGCTGCTCTTGTACCGTGTAAAACTTACACACAGAAGTGAAATTCAGTCTGTCAAATTCAACTCTTCTCACCAAGAACAAACTGGGGAAGAACTGATATTCTGCACAGACAGGGAAGAAGGGAATTAATTTATTAAGTTCTGATTATATTCACTATTTTAAAAATTGTTTAATGTCTTGTTGACAGGCTTACTTACCTCTGTGGAGGGCAAAGCTTATAAAAGGTGGTGCTCATATAAAAGGTAGGAGGCCATCATACCATGTCGTGCAGGGTCAGACAGACAGTAAGGGCTCCATTAACCTTTATTTTGTCATATTTGGCACAACTGCACCATTAGACACAGCAGGATTAAATTCCCTACAAGTGTATTTAAATTCCACCAGCCAAGAGAATAGGGGAACTCTCCACATGACAGTTAACATGTTTAGCTTTTAAGTAATTGCTGCCAGAATTGCCTGTAGAGAATGTTCTGAAAAATAATCTGAGGCAAATTACTGGGGAATAGTTGTACGGAAGGAATTGAAAAAAAAGTCAGCATTATGCTGTCCTTAAATTGTCACTAGTGAATGACTTCTCTAGGTGGTTGCTGCTGAGATAAGTAACACCCTGTAACCATGGAATGTGCAGGATTATCCTACACACTTGTATGTAGGTTTTCTAGCAAGCTGATCAGCTCACTTCAAAATAAAACATTTTGGAAGGAGCAGTCAGCTCCCTTTTTTCCCCACTTTAAGGAGATATTTTCATACAAAGTTTCAAGGTCATCTTTATAGATATGCTACTAGAGAAAAGGCAAAATTGAGCTTAATCATCAGCTTTAGGGGCTGCAGGGCTGAATTAAACTACAGCAGAAAGAAGTAGAGAGGAAAGGCATAAGAGTGCATCACTCACTTCTAAAATCAAAGCATAGATGTATGGGGAGGGAGAACATGGTATGCACCTCCCACATTTGTAGGAAGAATATGAAAGTCACCAGTATTTTGCCAGAATTCCTGCTTCTGTTGCAAAATACCACTCAGTGCTGTGAAAGTGACAAAGGGCTTTTCTTTGATAAACAGCTCTTGGGCTCATTATTCTCATAAGCTTAGTCTGAGGTGGAGGATTTTCTTCTTACTTTATTCAGCATCTTCATTTTGACCCCTCTAGGACATTATTAATTCTGCAAGGACTATAGTCTATGATTCTGCTAAGAAATTCTACTGGTTATGGGCTAACATGGCGTCTTGGTTTGAGACAAATTGGGAGGAAACATCCTGAAATGAACGTGTCCTCCCAACCATGGCATGATTCATTTCCTCTGAAGTCTGTTAAACAAAAAGCCAGCAAGCATAAAAAGGAAGATAATTCTGGAACAGAGGCATTCCCACTCCTAGAAAAGTGTGACTGATAAAGGCTGTAGTCTGGCTACATGAAATCCTGGTGGTTGTGTTTGTGCCTGGAGCTCTGACCTGAGGTTTCAAGAGTTTGCTGAGAAGTGCTTATGGTTAATTTAGAGTTAGGATTTGGGCTGTGGTCTGTAGCTAAGGAAAAATATATGTATTCATAGTTTCATATGAAAACTGGTGGCCAACTGCTCAACTGGTAAGTTAGCTAAACCAATATCTTTGAATGGTTATTTCTAGATAAGGTAAGAATGTAAAAATGGGAGGGTGGGAGGAAGAGGAATGAACATGATTTTACTCAGAGATGTGACTTAAGGACAGAATAAGACATGACTGGAATATTAAGAGGCCATGGCTAGTTAGGAATTTTGGACATTTAAGAAAAGTGGTGTCACAGATGTTCAGAGCAAGGCTTAAACACATCTGTCAAAATGCATTTCTGAAGGAAATGACCTTCAGAAGGGAAACACAGATTATCCAGCTGGAAGGCAAGTGGAGAACATAGGAGGTGAGTGATCTACAATATCAGATCACTCTTCTCTCATGTGAAGCTTAGAAAAGGAGTAGGAATGAAAAGTCATATCAGCTTCCAAAGACTAAGAATATGATGGATGGATGGATGGATGGATGGATGGATGGATGGATGGATGGATGGATGGATGGATGGAGGCAGAAAATCTAAGGTCAGAGTCGCCATCTAGCAATAGCTAGAGGCTTAATTGGAAGATAGATGTGTTGTTTAGGTGATTCTTTTGAGGAGAGACACTTAACTATGTGGGCTCTGGGAGGGATCTTGAGCTCTACATTTATTAGTCATGAATACATGACATTTTTGTCCCTACAGGAAAAAGGGCTGTGGAGAAAAACAGTGTCAATGATGGTGAAGCCAATGAATATGACCTCAATGACAGCTTTATAGATGATGAGGAGGAGGAAGAGTGCGATCCTACTGATGAGGACTCGGACTGGGAACCAAGTTCAGAAGAGAAGGATAATGAAGATGTTGAGACACTTGTGCAAGAAGCACATAGATTTGTTAGGATCAAAAAATAGCTGCTCAGAACAGCCTTATGAATGTCCAGTGTGGTTGTGTTTAAAAATGGTTGCACAAAGGAGAGGAATTGTCTGAAATTTTTTTTTCTCTGTGATGTAGGGACTACAGGAAGATAATAATGGGGGTGAGAAGATTCTGCAATGCCTTTCTTGTCCATATGCATTATTTTGGGGCTGGTCTGGTGTTTGTTTTATTAAGGCATGGACCCAGAGGATAAACTCTGAAAATTTTTGGTTGTTTTTTCTTTTTCTTTTTCTTTTTCTTTTTTTTTTTTTTGCAACACCATTGGTATTTTGAAATACATTTTTAAAGGTTGTTAAAACTTCATCTTCCTGTGCTTGAAAGAAATATTGCTGCTAGGAAAGCCTAAGCTATTTTTATTGTTGAGTTAGTGCAGTTTAAAATTCCATTATTCTGTTCCCATCTTCCCCAGATGTTGTTTTGTTGGTTCTCTTCACGTACAGTAGTTCAATACAGGTTGTCTAAATCACTTGAGAAAGTATCTCAGTGTATTGAAACACTTGATTGGCTCAACAATTATAGTGTTATTTGCTCTAATTACAACAGTACCTCTTTCTGTGTACTTCACTGGAACTGTGTCCAATTCTCAGCTAAGTCTTGATGACTGTATTTTTTCCCAATTAAACTTGTAATATACAGTGGGAAAAGTGTGTAACTGTGATTTTCTGTGAGGGCGTGGGGACCGAGCAGACCGCCCTCCCTCCAAAAGGCGAAAAAGTGGTGGGAGGATTGTGGTTAGCTGCATTTCTGTGCTAGGAATCCTCCCACAGCCCGATTTCCTGAGCATTTCTGTTTTCCCTGGGTTCCACAAGGTGGGGGTCTCTTGCAGCCCAATTGTGGAAGTTTTCTCTGCCCTGATCAGCTGTCAGGCGGAGTCCTTCCAGAGACAGAGCTTACCTCTGACAGGAATGAGAGGGATGTGTCTCTACAAACTGGGCCTGCTTGTAGATAAAGCCAGATACTGAAAGGTGAAAGAAGCAGTGGAGGGAACCATAAATTCCAGGGGAATTCCACTAATTGACACAGACTGTTGTTCACTCGAGACCGTGCTAAATTCCTGGACTTGGAGAAAAAGAACAAAGATACAAAGAAAAACGGGGGAATGGGGGCATTGCTGAAATTCAGGAATGAATTGAATTGCCAAATTGAAATTCAGGAATTAATTTTCTTCACAGAAAGGGTGGTTAGACATTGGAATGGAGGTCGTGGAGTCACTGTCTCTGGAGGTATTTAAGAAAAGACTGGCACTTTGTGCCATGGTCTAGTTCATATGGTGATGTTTGGCCAAAGGCTGGACTCAAGGATCTCAGAGGTCTTTTCCAACCTAATTGAGTCTGCAATTCAGGGCTTTTCCTGGCAATGTGTGTTTGCAATGCAGACTAACAGTGTATGAGAGAGCAAGATCTCTGTGTCTGAGGGACAAGTGTCTATCTTGCCTCAATTTTCTGCTCAGTGGTGTTTTTCTGCACAGGTGTACAGAGTATTTGGAAAGGGGACAGCCCAAGCACCCAGTGAGCATCACAGCCCAGCCCACACAGGGAGAGGGAGAATGCAGACACTACAAGTGCCCGAGTACCCAGCTGTCAAAAGCTGTAGCATCTGTTGCTACTTGTTGGAGTCATGGGAATCCTGGGAATACCTGCATGATGCCATTCCCAAGGTGTTTGACGTGAGCTGATGCGGTTTGTGGTGATGCTGTGCTGCAGAGGCAGCAGCTGGAGGGTGCTGTTGCCACAGGAGAGGTTCACAGAAAGATCACAGCAAAGTCTTAGCTCCCCAATGAGTGAGGCAGTATTCAGGGAAATTTTCTGTGCTGGCTACTCTGATGTACCCCGGCCTGGGATCTTGCAGGTCATCCCCCTTTTGTAGAGGGACAATTGCTTTAATCACCCAGCCTTTGTTTTCTCAGTGCCTGCTGCTGAGAATAGCTGCTTTTTCTTCTCCTAGTGCTCTCTTAGCCTTTTTGGCTCACCATTTTAGCTTCCAGGTGCACCTGTGTTTGTGTTTTTCAGTAGAGAAATCAGAAACTGGATTTTACCCTCAGGTTATCCCTGGAGAAGCTGCTGTAGAAGGAAGTGAGCCTATGGTTTTTGGAGCTGTGCTGTAGGAGGACAGCTGAGCAGTGATCTGGTGTGGTAGCACCACCGTTTTTCATTTGGCAGTAAAAATTGGAGCTAACCACAGCCAAGACGTGGTATCATTGGGCTGTTTCACTGCATGGTTTTCTAAATGCTGCCAAAGGCTCTCAGGAGGATGCCCGACTCTCACCCACAATTCATCCACAACACATCCTGCGATTCTTGCACGATGGAGCCCCTATTGCAGCTGTTCCTTAGAGCTTATAGTAGGCAGCTGGTGGCCCCAGAGGTCTTGCTAGAGTTTTTCCTGCCTTGCAGTAGGCAGGAGTTGTGCTGGAAAGGCCTGCTTCTCCTCTGAGACAGATCCTACCTTCTTCCCAGCTTGTGCCTGTCTTTCTCTCTTGACATGTGGCTCTTACAAGCAGAGTAAGAGGTAGGTGCACTCCATATTCAATTCCCTCTCTAAATGTTGTCGTTTAGTAAGTTGTGTGGGTACAAAAAGGTCTTTTTGTTCTTTTCTTCCCCGCACATCTCACCTAAGCCCTAGGGAATGTGGGGTCTGGTCCTCTCCCTCAGAGCCTGCCCTGGCTGCTCCCCCTGCCTGAGGGAACTGTTCTCACTGCCTGCACACATCAGGAGTATTCACAGTAGTTTTTAAGTGATTTTTGGTCCCCATGCCAGGCCCCAGGCCTCTGCTTGCTGGAGCTCAGTTTGGGAGCAAACACTGTCTCTGAAAGTGCCCTGTTTGGGTCTGTTTGGAGCTGGTGCAGACACAGGCTAAGGGTAACGTGGCTGTTTCGTGCTTGGATCAGGGAACAGACCTGTCACCCTTCCTCAGTGGGAAACCTCCTCTCCCTGTGGATGCTGCTTACAACAAATGCAGTTGAGGACAAAGCAGGACTTCTCCTGCCCTATCCAGAGGTTCAGGCAGCAGCACTGCTTTGCTGCTAGGAGGACCTCAAAATGTCAAAAATGCAGCAGTCCCAAAACCTAAACCCTCAGTAGGGGTTGTGGAAGATGCTGCTTTGATACCCCTGGCAGGCACAGGGATGAGAACAGTGGTTAGACCAGGCCACAAGAGCTCCCTTGGAGCTCTCAGAAAGATTTCCAGACTTTCAGAGCAATTCTTCATCCCAGATTTTGTTTAGTACTATATTTCTTGGTGGAAGTTGAAGGTTTTTTTTTAACTCAGCCTTAGATGTATTTCCCTAGTGTGGAAATTGTCAGATTTTGTTGCACCAAAACCATGTAGGAAAAGCAGTTATAAGGAGTATCAGCACACTAATAACAGGTAGTAATGCTAGCTAATCCCCAACAACTAGGGCAGGTTTCAGGGGATAAATATGGGAGCATAGCTTCAGAAGGAGCCATGAGATTTCTGGTGAGATTACAAAATTAAGTCTTTTGATAGTGAAATACTTCAGCTCTCTGGTCCTTTAAATTTCTGTGGCAGGCTGGAAAACAAATTTAGTACTTACTCCTGTTCAAAACTGAGATTTTGAAGGATGATTTCAGTCATTGTTTTGCCTAACAGCACATGATTAAATACTCTCCAACATACATTTAAGCTAATGATGAGAGGCTTTGAGCATTTTAATGGGTTTTAATATCCTTTTGCCCTTAAATTTAATTGGTCAATTTTTCTTCAGCAGGAATGGGATCATTCACATTACTCAGTTGGGTAAGAAAGTGATGGCTAAAGGAAAAAGACAAAAAATAATTCAGAATGCTGATACTGATACCATGTTTTATTTGCGGGATTTACTGCTCACTTTAAATTCACAAATAGACAAGTAAAATAAACAATTTACTCCAAAAGTAGGCACAACCACACACTTTAAAACAGGAAGCATTTGTCATCATGACAGAAAAGATTTTATTTCCATACACAGAAGTCCACAATACGTGTAGTTGAAACAAGTAGGTATTACTGTTACTGTCACCTGCTTTGTCACAATTATCAGTTAAGAAACATCCAAACTGGAGTTGCCCTAAATCAGAACAGTAAAAGAAGCACAGAAGGAAATGCAGAATTCATCTAGAGTTGTTGCCTCATATCTGAGCAGACAATAAGCTACTCAGCTCAACCAGAGGCTGGCTCCCTGAAGCCTAAGCCTGTCTTGCTCCCAGAAAGATGGATCATCTCAGGATCTCCCTGGTATTTTGGCTTCACTTATCCTTTATCGTAAAGATGCACACAGACTTGGCAAAATGTCTGGTTGGATTTTTCCCACCACCATGCTGTAGTTTCATATGGATCCCACTGACAAGCAAGGTAAAACACATGAAATTCCATCTGAACATAAGAAAACACTTTTTTACTGAGTGAGAGCTGTTGAACACTGACACAGGTGATCCAGGGAGACTGTCAGCATTCCCTGGTCAGTCAAAGCCTAGCTGGACACAATCCTGGCCCATGTGTGCAGAGGGGTGGGCTAGATAATGTGGAGATGTTATTCCCAACTTCTACAATTTTGTGATTGGTTCTGTGATGAGCTCAGCATCTCAAGGCAGCAGAAGCTGGCCATAGGGTGCCTGGAGGTGAGGGAAGAGATCCTTTTCATATGTACCTGTGGTATTTCCAAATACATAGCAGACAGAGTAACACTCTCCATAAAACTAAAGAGATAAAGCATTCTTAAACAAGGTTTAATAGGAAGAGACTTGAGGTTTTCACTTGGCTGTAAAGCAGGTTTTGGCTTTCAGAGTATGTGCCTTTCATAAGAACATGCTGTGCATATTGTCCAATGACAATAGAAAGCTGGTGGTCTGTAGATTTCAATAAGCTTCATCAGGAGGGGTAAACTGAGAGGTTAAAGAGTGACAGGAGTCAAAATAGGCTTTTTTTGGCATCCTTTCTCTTCTGAGCAGAAAGAAAAGGACACCAAATAACTTAGAGGTATGAGTCACAAGCTCAAAAGGGTTAAGAGGTTTCTCTTAAGAAACAAAGAAGCATCACTGCTAGGATCAGCACTCGACTTTTCCATCATTGTAATATGCTCTAGTGCAATCTTTGTTCTCATTAAACAACTCTAAAATGAGTGTCTACATCCCAAATTGACAGATGTATAAACTGAAGCACAGCATCCGTTCAAGCTTAAGCATTATCTAGCAGTCCAGTGAGAAGAGTTCTGGTGGGAACGCAAAGTCAGCTGCTGCTTTGAGGGCTCTCACCAGTGGTGGGTATTCCCACGGACAAGGAAGAAGCTTCTGAGAAGGTATGATTTCCTCTTTACCCCCCTCCAAAAAAAAAGTGAGATTAGAACCTCAGAAAGTTTATTGTAGTTTTATGCAGTCTACTTCCTCTGTGATTGGCATTGCACTTGTTCTCAGGTCCAAATCTGTGCTGGATTTGCTTCCCTTATACGTTGACCTCCATCTGAGCAGCATGATCTTCTTGAAGTACTTCATGGTGTTGTTTTTCACGGTTACGAAACACATGGTGTTTATCATGCTGTTGCTCATGGCGATGCACTCAACTATGTAAAAGGCAGTGAGATAATGCTTCTCCTTCACCAAGATGTTGGGGAAGAAGTCCCGGACAATTGTGAAGCCATAGAAAGGTGCCCAGCAGAGAACATAGGCAGTCAGGATGCACATTAATACCATAACAGTTTTCCTTCTGCACCGAAGCCTCTTTCTGATTTGTTCTGTCTGAAATCCTGGGACGGTTTTAAACCAAAGCTCCTGAGAGATCCTGGCGTAACACAAGGTCATTGTAATCACAGGTACCACAAATTCAATGCCAAAGATGAAGAGAAAGTATGATTTATAGTACATCTGCTGGTCAACTGGCCAAATTTGGCCACAGAAAATTTTCTCCTGGTTTTTCACTATAAACAACACGGTTTCAGTAGCAAAGTATGCAGATGGAATAGCTACAATTATGGAGACAACCCAGACCAAGGCAATGAGGAAGGTTGCTGTTTGATAATTCATGCGTGGTTTCAGTGGGTGAACAATGGCCAGATACCTAGAACAGAAAAAAAAATTCAAAATGAAGTCTGAAAACACTGTTGATCAGAACACACTTCAAAATACACGCAAACAGAATCAGGCAGAAGTAAATTGCTGTCATTCCTGAGGGGAGAGCCTGAACATATTCGTCTGTAAGGACATAATCATCTGTAAGAACATTCTGTGAAGTAGCAGCCAAGAGCTGAGTTACAATTTCATATCACAACTTTTCCTTTTAAACAGGAGCAAGAGTCTGAAAAATGCAGTATTACACATCTAGTCAGGTTCAGGGAAGAAAAGACAAACATGGAGAATCAGGAAAATGTTTTCCCTAGGCAGAGAGCAACTTAAATAGCTCTTTTTATAAGGAGGTTAAATATATATCACAGTGTTTTTCTTATTTCTGTGGTTATTCCATGGGGTGCAAAGACCTGAAGGTGATGTTCATGTATGGTTGCAGGTGAACATGATTTTAAGCCACCTACAGAATGTGTACCTATTTTATAGATGCATACTCTGTATCTATTTTCTGCCCATGCAAACCCTTTCTGTGTGTGTTCTGGAGGTTCTGGAGGTGACCATTGCTTATTCACCTTAAAGGTACAGTATTAAGTAATATGGCAAAGCAGAAAACTGAAGTTAGCTATTTGCACTGCTTGGGACTGTAAAGTGGCAAGGTTGTGTTATTCTGCTAGGACGAGATTTTTTTCAGAGGTCCCAGTACAACTGTGTTTAACCCAAAGTATTGTTTCAAAAAGTGGAATATCTCATTCCTTTGGAGTCTATTCCATTTGTATATATTCAATACATAGAATAGCATCCATAAGATATATTCATTCCAAAGTAAAATGGAAAGTCAGCAGCACTTTTCATCGGCCAGATCTTGGAAGCAGATGAATTGTTCATAGCTCTTAATAGTTCAGGGTAAATGTCAGGGGACAGCAGAATGAATCAGCCTCATTGTGGAGCAGGTATGTTAACATTTTTAGATCAGGTCCTGGGGAAGTATGTTGAGGCACAGTGTATGTGTATGTGTTCATAAATATGCATATCTGCTCAGCAGAACACTTGGCTGGATGGGATCAATCTGCCCAACACAGTCAGGAGGAAGCTTTTGTGGTGGGTTGTAATTGCTTACCACACTTGGGCTGTTACCATAGAGTGGTCTTGCAGTTTATGAACTGAATTCAGATGAAAGTGTCCTGGAAGATGTGCTCCAAAAGTGTACCTAAAACACACTAAGTGCCCATGGGTGTTTGGTCCAGGGGACCCAGCTAAATATTTGCAGTGTGGACATTGGACCCTTATTATGCGCTCTTCTTTTTCAGATGTATTTTTTCTAGTGTAGGTGTGGGCTTAAAAAAGTGAAATTCCTATTTTTTCATGTGATTAGAGATGGAGGAAGAAGAAAGAGAGCTCTCCCTGAAGGAAATCCTCACTGGGACAGACTTACTTGCTTTACAGGGCTGATTCCTTTTGAATTATCTAAGCATGGGAAGACTTTTGTTGGGAGCCTGTTCTTTTTAGAGACAGAAGTCAACAATCCATGTGACATAACTAACATGGAATAGGTGTTTGTTAAAAAATGAGGTTTCTCTCTGTTCACCAGGTCAATAGCTTGCAAAAAAAAAAAAAAAAAGAAAAGGAATGAAACCAAAACAGAGTGTTCTTACAACAAGCTTCAGTAATTAATCTTTACTAGGCTTGTTTTTAAAGATGTGTGGGAAGATATGCTATAAATCTGATTTCTTAGCAGACATAAGGGCGCCATGACCCATGTTACTTCATCAACCTGGGATGCACTAGCACAGCCTTCCAAGAAAACTTTGTAGAAGCTGAAAAACTGATAGAAAATGGTAATGCATACATGGTAGTGTTTAGAAGCTGTACCCCAAGTCCTCAGCTGCTGTTGAAAGGATATTCTGATAGATGCTTGTTAAGGATTTGTTCTGTAGGAGCCGAAGGCAAAAAAACTCTGAACTTCTCCAGAGTCTTTTCACAGAGTTCTGTTGATGTCAGGAACAGCTGGATCAACCATACACAAGCTGTATCTGTACAGCCTTCAGCAGGGCTAACTACTCCTGAGCTGACTTTTGCATCAGGAAATGAAAACTGCAACACTATACTAAAGTTTGAAATGGCACATGAGAGAAATTGGGGAAAAGAAAAGAAAGGAGCGGTGGGAATCACATATGTATGTGCAGAGGGTCTACAGAGATGTGTATTGTGTTTGTACATGAAAGAGGTTTTGTGATGATGGCCTTTCTGTAAAGAGTTTAGTGAGCAGGTCTCTGGTTTTCTGTGAGCCAGTCATGTCAGACTTATGCCAGCACGAGGCTGATCCTCAAGTGCCTTGGTCTGTCAGAGTCCATGGTGCATCGGGCTGAGAGAAGAGTCTTGAGAAAAGATACAATTAAATCAAATCATTAAAATTCCTGGGGTAAAAGGCAGTCTCCCAGGACTGCAGCAAAATTGGAAAAAAATCCTCACTGAGAAAGTGGTCAGGCATCAAAACAAGCTGCCCAGGGACTAGTTCACAGAAAGTATGGATGTGGCACTGGAGGACATGGTTTAGAACCTTGGAAGCTGTGGCCACATTTTTGTGCAGTCGTAGCATCCCACTTACCTGTCAACAGCTATGGCCAGGAGAGCATTGGTCGAAACGTAGAAGGAGACAGTTCGTAGGTAGTTGACTGAGGCACAGAGGACATGGCCATGCTCCCAGGACAGCTGCTGCACCACGTAGTAGTCCATCTCAAAGGGGCAGCACACGATGGCCACGATGAAGTCTGAGATGGCCAGGTTGGCAAACAGCAGGTTGGTGAGGTTTCGCAGCTTCTTGTAGCGGGCGAGAGCAGCGATGAAGATGAAGTTGCCGATGCCACAGACCAGCATGATGCCAACCAGAGCAACCCCGATGACAATCTTGGCTGTGAAGAAGGTGCGGGTTTTGGTCATGTCATCTTCACTGTCCAGTGGCAGGTCATAATCGCCGTAAGTGAAGTTGAAAGGGAAAGAGAAGTTTCGCAAGGAGGTGAAATCCCCATCGTGGATGTTGTAAATTGCAGCAAAGTTGAGGCGGGTGGTAGCATTTAGGCTGCGTTCAGTTTGCTCCGTGGCCATGCCTGTCTTCTTTTGGCATGTGCAGTTTGGGTGGCCCTTGGTGTTAGTCAGCTCAGTGTGGCAGGGCACAAGAGTGGCAGGAGAGAGCCCTCACCCAAAGCTTCCTTTTGAGCAGTGAGCAACTTTGTCTTTTTCCCCAGAAGATTCTAGGACAACAGCCTCACTTATCTCCTTCTGTGGAAACAAAAAGAGGAAAATGTTTCCTGAAAGGATGACAGCAAAAGTACTGATCTTGAAGGAAAGCAGTAGCCACCTTACTGCACAGAAGGAAGAAATACCCTGTGAAGGGATGCTTCTGTTCTCACAAAATAAATGCTCCTAGTTGCTTCGTGCACTGTTTGTTACAGCAGCAGTTTTATTTACCAGCAATGAAATTTTCATCAGGCAGTGAAATGACAATATAGGAGGAATGTAAAGTCTAGTTTAAGCCTCCACTGGCCCGCAAGCCCATGGTGCTGTCATCATTGTGCAAGGTAAAAGACACTAAAATGACAACTCAGTGTGCTGTAAAGCATTTGATGTGCCTTTTGGACAAAGTTTATGCTTTATTTTGGTTGTTTCAGAGTGATGTGGTAGAGGAGAACAAAAAGAGAACTGATGTCCTTGCTTTTAAATACATTTCTTAATGAAGAGTTGCAAAGATCCAAGAAAATACTAAATCCAGCACTTTCCCTTTTGGCAGCCATTAATTGAAGATAAAATTTCCTGCCAGCATAATCCATTATCACTTCTGTCAAAGAGGTGAAGCTCTGCCAATTTGCAGAGACACAAATTTTGTCCCATGAACCAGCTTGTAGAGCTTAGCTGTGATGGCAGATCTGCCATTCACAGGGAAAGTGTTTCCACAGGGAGTGAAAGGTGAAAGGGAAAATCTTCTGTAAGCAAGACAGTGCCTTGCATTTTTGATGCTGGGGAGGAGCAGGCTCCTGTCTTTGTACTGCTAAATGTACCAAATATTAAAAACAATTATTTTTTTTCCACACAGAGGGGAAAAAGAAATCTCATCTACTCCTTATTTTTGCCTCTCAGTATCAAAATGCTGAGAGGGCATCTTCTTCTCTCCTCCCATGATCCATCTAGGAATCTTCACACCAGACTCCTGGCTGTTAGGACAGTCTCACCTCATCCCAGCAGAGGATCAGGGAGCATTACTGCTTTTTCTGTCCTCAGGCAGCAAGTCCTCGGGGTATCAAACCCTACTGAACAATAGCAGTCACGGCTACAAAGGATAATCTCCGTAGTGGAGCTGTTGCTCCCTTCTTTCCCTGGAACCACCCTCAGACCCTGATGTACCGACACTTGACAAATATCTGTCAGAAACTCTCTTTTACAACTTTGGTCACCACGTTGTTTTTCAAACTGAGCATTGCAGAACAGAATAACAGAAAGCCAAAGCCTGAAACCAAACAGTTCTGACAAGGAGCTGCTTTAGGAGACATCTCCACAGCCGCCTGGAAAGGTAAACATTCATCTAAGAGAAGTGCTAAATAAACACTTGAATGCAAAATCTGTTGTCCAAAGCAAGGGGCAAGCAAATCTGTGTCAGATTTCGCTGCTAAATACCAAAAGAGATACAAAATAAATACAGACAACACAACCATCCACAAACTGACATCACGCTATCAGCAAAGGGTACCTGCAGTTGAGCTCATCTTCTTGGAGGTCTGAGGCACCCTGTGGAGAGCTGCCAGGTTTCTCCTCTGCACGTGCTGCTGTTCCAGGAGGAAAGGATCACTGGGAGTAGCCCAAGGACTCCGCTGAGCGCTCCTTTCTCTCCCATTCAGGTTAGCCCTGTGCTCAGGGGAGGATGGCTCCTCTGCCTCTGTGCCTGCATCTAAAGCCTTTGCTCAGTGGGAGGCACCTTGAAGCTGTCCGTGCATTTCTGATTTTAAAGAGGCAGCACGATCTGGAGACAATAGAGCACAGCCCTTTTGGGGTTCCTCTGCCTTAAACCCCCTGAATGCACGGAATTGTCAGAGTGGCTTTGTTAGCAAGCCTGAGTGTGGAACATAAAAACCCCGGTTTGCCCTTGCTCTTTGGGTTTTGCCTGTGCTGGTCAGCAGCAGCCTGCACCTGATGTGCCACAGAAGCAAAATACAAACCTCCCACTGGAAAGGAGGGGGAGGAAGGAGGGTGATGTGCTTTCCCCGGGAACCTTTCTCTGTGTGTGTCTCTCTGGCTATTGTCTTTAGGGCTGCAGCTGCGGTAGCTCCAGCAGGAGGGACACACAGTGAATAGCTGTAAATCAGAGGACCCCTGACAGCTTTCCTTGCCCTCTTAGGGAATCAGACCAGAAAAACAGCAGTAAATCCTTATAGACCTGGTATCCTTTGCTAATGCTCCTCCTCACTGCTCTGAAGCACTCACACCTGAGGAAGCAATTATTTTGCTTTCCAGTTCTCCAGAATGAAAAGAAAAGTGTGGCACATCACCTGTCTTCTTCACCTCCAGACTTATTCACTTAGCTGACATTTTCCAGGGTCTGTAGTGGGACATATTACATAGTCCCCAGCAGATGACACCATCAGAGGCTGTCAAAGGTCATGAAGAGTGTAGGGGGTTTGCAGAAAACTTAGATTGTGTGTCCCCAATGCACATTCACAAGGCTGGGCTCTTGTGAGCTAGTGGGCACTTAGCTCTGGAAAAAGCAGGTAAGTGAAGAAACCTGTGAATGTAAAATAAGCCTGGGGTAAAAGAGCCACTACTGTGGCATTCTTTCCAGAAAACCTGAAGAAGATGGGAAAGTCCCCAATGTCTGCAGACAGCAGGGAGGATTAAGAATTTCACAATAAATACTTTGCTTGACTTTGTTTTGAACAGCCAGTCTAATATTTGAAAATACACTAAGGGATTTTTAATGTCCTGAGAGGGTGCAACCAGAACAACAATGAGGAAATCAGATCCAGTTCACCTGTTAAATTTTGTCACAAAAAATGTAAATATAGTAAGTGTAGAGAGAGAGGCAAAGGAAACTGTGTACATCAGAGCCATGTTAAAACTATCCCTAAAATGGGCCACATTAACCTTAAATGCCCCTGAAGAAAAGCTGAGACACTAAAGGGAGCTCTGCATTCAGTACGTTCATGATCTCTGTAAGACTTTGTTCAGCTGTCTCACATGAAGTTATCTATTAGGCTAATCAAGCAATATGATATCCAGATATTTATATTCCTTTAGGCCAAAACCTCATCTGCTGCAGAGCTGTCTCTCCCCATTGACTCAAGGCAAGCTGGCATCAGAACCTTGATAACTCCAGATGTGCTCTGCGTGCTCAGTGCAAGCTTCTGTACAGCAGTAGTTCATCTCCTGTGCTCCAAGGAATTGTGCTGTCTGTGTCAAGCTGTTTCTCAGAGAACACCAGTAGCCCTGTGAAACAATATGATTTATATGTGCTGTTCAAGGCTGTGCTTTGTAGCTATGGATTGTCATCGAATAGAGAACAAAACCAGCGGTGCTGGGTATGGTCCTTGGGCAGAGTGGAAGTTCAGGAGTGGGTCTAGAGCCTCAATGACTGTCCCAGTGCCCTGCCCCACTGCAGCAAGGGCTAGTGTGGTAGTCTAAGGGCTCTAAATCTGTGGGGTATATGCAGCAAGTGTATGCACATGATTCAGGTGTGTGATTTCTGCAGGGGACAAGCTTTCTCCTTAATAACGTTAACTGATGATTCCCCAATGGTGTCACAACATTCAACACAGCATCACAAGGCATTTCCTGGGACTAGTGTTACCAGTGTGACAAATTCAGGCTGAGAAAGAAAAGTTGCTACTGAAAACTATCATGGAAAACACTGTATTGAGATTGCATGGTGTGGTTTTAGTTAGATGGGGGGCCACAGAGGTGGCTTCTGTGAGAAGCTGCTTATAGCTTCTAGCTTCCACCAGGTCTGGCAGAGCCAATCCTTGATGGGTCTGAAGATGGACATGTTGCTGGCCAAGGCTGGGCCAAATAGAGATGTTGGTAATGTCTCTGTGATAACATATTTAAGAAGAAAATCAGAACAACAGGGGACACAGTTGTGGTTTGTTTTTTTTTTTTTTCTAGCCAGAGAAGAGGAGAAGATGAGAATATGTGAGGGAAACAATATGGAAACACCAAGGTCAGTGGAGAAGGAGAGGCAGGAGGTGCCCCAAGCACCAGAGCTGGGATTCCTCTGCAGCCTGTGGTGATGACCATGGTGAGGCAGCTGTGCCCTGCAGCCCATGGAGATCCATGGGGGATGCAGAGATCCACCCACAGCCCATGGAGATCCATGGGGATGCAGAGATCCACCCAGAGTGTGGTGATCCATGGGGATGCAGAGATCCACCCACAGCCCACGGGGATCCATGGGGGATGCAGAGATCCACCCACAGCCCCTGGAGATCCATGGGGATGCAGAGATCCACTCACAGCCTGTGGGAGAGGTGCCCATGCCAGAGCAGGTGGATGCATTCCAGCAGTTTTGGGAGGACTGCTGCTCGTGAGAGGCCCCATGTCAGACAGGTTCGTGGAGAGCTGTCTCCCATGGGAGGGACCCCACGGTCTCACAGGGGAAGGACTCCTCTCCTGGATCAGGGGAAGAAAATCTCAGTGATGAACTGACCAAAACCCCCATGCCCTCTCTCTTTGCATTGTCAGTAGGAAGGAGGGAGGGTTGGGAGAAGAAAAGCTGTTTTTAAGGGCTTTATTTTATTTTTCATTATCTTCCTCTGATTTTTTTTAGTAATAAATTCACTTTGTACCTCTAGGCTGACCCTGTTTTACCCCTGGAATGTTTTCTCCCAGTCCTTATCTCAACTCATGAAGTCTTCATTACATTTTTCTCTTTCCTCTGCTCGGCTGAGGCAGGCGAGTGTGAGTGAGCGAGTTTCATGGGTGCCTGGCATTTGCCAGCATCAAACTATGACAAAGATTCACATTCTTGTTTATTTGTTTCAATCATTAATATGCTCACTGGTTGAATGGAGAGGTTGTTTGGAGGCAGAATGATGCAAAAACAATTGCAGTGTAAAGTACTTGTTTGGAGACTTTGAAATCATGAAGTTCTAAACCCAGCATTTAGCCTGGGAATGGACCTGAGGACTCTGGCCCTTCATTTCAAAACACCAAACTCACCAGCTACTGTCTAATTTTTCCTAATTGCTAAATAAATTGGACTCTGAGTGAAGTAATTAATCTTACCGAAGCTTTGCATA